ATGACTATAAACAATAAATTTAAATGTGTTAGGCCTATGTTATTATACAGTATTTACTATGGTTTTATAATTTATATATTTTTATTTTTGTACTATTTGTTAAACTTATATATAATAAATAATTTAATTAAACAATTTAACAAAATAGTACAAATAACGAATAAGTTAATTAAAATAAGCCGCAAACCAAACGTAAATAAACACATTTTTAATACGATTTCGCAATTATACAACTTCATTTATTTTTATAAAAATGTAGTACATAAAATTACATTTTTAATACGATTTTGCAATTATACAACTTCATTTATTTTTATAAAAATGTAGTTCATAAAATAATCAAAATTCTAATTTTCAATTACACAACTTATACATCACGAACGGCAATACGAGCAAATCAACGACTGACAAGACTGTGGGATGAATATGTAGCTGGTATCCGGGGGGTTCATTCACTGATGACATCGGCAAGCCGACTACATTCACTGAGACAAACTACACTCACTGAGAGACGTGCTTGGCGTTCCATAGAAAATACCGGCGTCTCAACTTGTCGGCGGCTCAACCGGTCATATCCCGTGCCAGAAACTGTCAACAAACTTGCACTGCATAAAATGTTTATTCATGACATTAAACTGCGAGGTTTATTCATTTTAGGCCTACCCCTTTTGAATCTGTCTTGATCAATTTAATTTTCCACAAGTCTCACGTTTAATACTTCAGACTTGGTAATAAGTTACTGTAGGCGACTTATCGGCTAGGGCTAATGGCAAATGTTTATGAAGTCAATGTGAACAAAGGAATATAATAACATTAACAAGGGACCATTCATTCTCCTCATCCTGGAAAAAACGACAAGTTATATAAAATGTAGACAGACTCACTACTATAATATGGGCCTAACCTTTGTCTTTCCTATCCGGGATAGCCTACAGAATATGGTGGCATATTGGGGCTAGGCCTATCCTAGACCTGGGATAGGCTAGAGAGGGATAGCTTAGGCCTAGGCCTACTAGAAAGAGGACTAGGCCTAGCGGGTATTCGGCTTGGCAAGGTCTACTGTAGGCCTAGCCTAGGCCCTGTCCTTGCCTAGCTAGCCTAGCAAAATTTCATGAAACAGAAAATTAAACAAAGAATGTATAGTAGGTTTACTAGGCCTTTACTAAAGCCTGTAGGTAACACTATTACTTTTTCGGTGTAGTAGCTCATATATTACCTGAACGCCTGTGCATGATAGAATCTTTCTTTAACGACAAATCACAACTTTAAGCCTAACACTTCCAGCCTCCTCAAGCACCTCACACCGCGACGACGCTTAGGCCGCAGAGAGAGAAGAACAAAGAGAACAGTCGATCACATATGGAACGCCAAAAGGGCAGCTCAAAATACACCGTGGATTTTAAAAGTGACTTAATTTCTCAAGAATGACACTGGATTTACAAGTTTTCCACAGTGTCATTTGAAAAATCCAAATTGTCATTTAACAAAATCCACAGTGTATCTTAAAAATCCTGAGTGTAACTCATCCATCAAGAATCTTATTATTGAAATGGTATCCTTGAATTATTGACATAATAATTAAGGTGAATGTAGGTGATAAATTTGAATTGGCCTTCGGGTGTCCGATGGCTCGAGTCTGAGTGCTTGACATATTTATTTGGGTTGTGGGCTAAAAAGGTTGCGGAACGAGGGAATAGACTATCCTTCGATTCCTTCACGACGCCCGTGAGGGAAGGGGTGTCTCGTAGAAGCCAATAATTTTGTCCAGGAGCACTGTGAAAAATCATTTTTACTGTTTTTCCGGGCATCTAGAGGTAGGCCTACCGTACCTATTCTTAAAAATGTGCTCACGTACCTCCCTTGTGGTGAGGTGGGTGTACCGCCTGTCTACTCCTTACGTGTCCCCACCTCGGCCGGCCCCTTTAGAAAATTTCTGGATTCGCCCCTGAACCACATTTTATACTCTATGGACATGGGACATGGGTGGGTTGGCTTTTGAGTCGCATAGACCAGATTTCTCAAGTAAGAAATTTTGCCTAATTGCGGACGTACGTAATAGACAAAAATACTACAGAAATTTGTTATAGGCCTAGACCCATAAATACATAGTTTTGAAGTGCAGAAAAAATTACTTTTCTATCCGGATCTTTGGTTACATTTTCCCTAGACAACTTATACTTGTCAGATTACTGATAAATTTTTGTGAAAAATAAGAAAAAGTGGCTCGTCTTATTGCAGTCCCGTTTGTTCGAAATTCCACAGCTTACAGAAATTTATAGTAAATTAAATAAATAATATTTGCTACGGATATTTTTGAAGACATATACTTGAAGATATATATTTGAAGACTTGGTTATACTGAAATGCATTTCACTAACTTGAGAAGCATGATACTCCTTGCTATATATAGGTCCATGTCCTTTGGATTCTATTTGATATTATATAGTTAATCATTCGATTGTTAGAATGGTTCTATCTTCTCACGATAAAAATATGAAATCTAGTAGGGGAGTGAAAAAATCGCTTACGTTAAACCAGATGTTTGCTGTGTATGCAAACAGATGACGACTACTTTAACCTCTAAATTTGAGCGCATTTCACTCATATAGATTCATTTTTCTATCAAGACCCGATTCACAAGATCTCTATTTAGATGAACGTGTCTAGAATTTGTGCTGTATATCGGCTAATTTTTGTATTTTAAAGCTCGTATTTAGATTAACTACATGCGCTTAATGAAAACCAAACCAGAACGAAGAACGGTGATGTAGGCCTACTAGTTAGCATTTCTTCCTTTGTACAACATTTATTTAGAATGGCATATTATTGATAAGCAAATACTGACATTATGGCTTCCTAACCAACGAAGATTTGCAGTCCCATACAGATCATGGATATATCCAGTGGCGTATCTAGAAGTCTTGAATTGTGGGGAGGGGGACCTGATAGGGAGGGGCTGATGTCCCCCCACCCTAGAAACGCCACTGGATATATCTAAACCGTTATTGTCCACATGCATTTGTTATAGCAGTCCCGTCAGCAAATTTTGCTTTGGGGGTTGTCGCATCATCTATGGTTACTAAAATAGCCAAGAAATAAAAAATAAAATAAAATAAAAAAATAGCCAAATGAAATATGTTTGGCACTTATAAATTTACTATTGTTTAAAGACAATTTTAGATAAAATGAATGAGTAACGATATGCTGTAATCATATAGTCGATAGGTAGCCATCTTAGTTGGTAAATACAAGAAGTAAAAAATACGGAAGCACTTTGTATAACGCATCTCTGTGATTACATCACTTTAATACTACTGTACTTCTGAAAGTGAATGACGCCATTTCGAAGTATGGATGTTTTGGTATGCATTCCTGAGAGCAAGCACGGTGATGTACAGATAATTTATTGTAGTGAAACATGAAAAAAAGATGTTGCCTGTTATATGCCATTATCAACATCTAATGTGTAAACATAGGCAAGACAATATGCGAAATACGAACACATATCTCATTCTTTACTTGTATAAATATTAATTACAAATATCATTAATTTATGTACAGTATATTTGATATTCATTTTTGAAAAGCTGATACAGTATTCAAAATTTAGAATTTTTTTTCAAATTTATTAATAACTTTTGAATACCTGAATATCTTTAAATATCGATTTTAAGTTTATTAAAAGATGAATGAAGTCACTGAAATAAAATCACTAACTGAAAGAAGAGGTTTATCAAATCGTTTATGAAACTTTATACGAAAATGTTTTTCTAAATTAATTACTATACTTCAAATCTTTTCATTAATACCTATTTAAAAACTTTGCAAAGTGTTAAATACAATTTTAAATTTCTGGTAAAATACAACATTGACCTAAAAAATAATGGAAGACACAATGACAACATTAATTACATACTGTACTGAAATAATCTCTAATTTGGTTTGTCCAATAAGATAGATTTAATTATAATTAAATAGTTATTTTCAATTGTTGGGATGGCCTAAGAGCTGTTTTTGAGCTTCTACTAAAATATAACTTTAACCTAAATATAATGGCAAGTCTAATAAAAGATTAATAAAATATTGAAATAAAAATTGTAACTGATATGAAAGAGGTTTATCACAATACTCTTGTCCAATACTGAAAAATTTAAATCAAACATAACTATAATTAAATAACTAATCAAGACTACTTGGATAGCCTTAAAGCTTGTTTTTGAGCATCCAGTAAAATATGACTTTAACCTAAAAAATAATGGACAAGTTTATGACAAGATTAATCGAATACTGAAATAGCTAATTGATAAGAGAGCGGTGTATCACACTCTTGTGCAATAGTAACATGTCTCCCTCTACTTAAAGACCACCTACAATTATAGACCACTTTTTTGTGGTCCCACACTTAACGAATGTCTTTCATATTATTTACTATTCTAATTAGAAACCAAGGCTGCTAAGGACCAAAGAAACCCCTGTCCCAGAAGTGGTTTTTTTTTGGAGGGTGACCTGTGTTTAATAAATCAAGAGATAACAACAGTGGTGGATTGGCCTATCTTTCCATAGGCTACAAACTGATGTGCCTTTGGGGAATGGTACCATTTTGAGTGGGGAAAAAATGATAGTTGAGTTAATCAACACTGAAAAAAATTACTCTATAGTTTTGAAATGTGAGCCCTCCCACGTTCCCTAGAGCCCCTTGTATAGATACTGGACTCATTAAGAGGAAATGGGGGAGCTGATGATAAGTGGAGAGGCTGTGAAGGTGGAGTGGGGGTTGATGATTAAGTGAGGGGCGCTAGGTCGGAGATTTTTAACTATTTGAGAATGATTTTTTTGGCATTGTCATTGGGTGGGGTGGGGGTGGGGAGAGCCAAGCTTTGTTTAGGTGGTTGTGTGCACCCACTAAATACGCCATTGTATATGAGTCACACTCTGAACCTGGATAACAAAAAAATTAATTGATGAGGTAATCCCGATCGTTGTGATGGTATCCGACTAAATTATCGAAACCAAGTTTGCTGGAACCAAGTTTGCCGAGTCCATGGCCATTTTACCGAATCCCAGTTTGCCGAATCCATTTCACCGAACAGTATGCCGTCACCGTCGTAAACAAGTATGCTACTGTGCTTTTGAAAACGTGATGGGTGGGTCAGGCAGGAGCCATATTTATATATAAATTAAAAGGCAATAAACTGGTCCGAGGCCACGACGAGATCGTCATACCAAAATAATAATTTACCTATCAAAATAACAAGCTCTACCAGGGATTTTTAAGCCGGTCCCTGACTGAGGCTCTAGTGGACCCCTTGCTTCAGGTCCTCTGTAGGACATGTTTTACCCCCTGATGGCAAATTTCTGGAGCCACCGCTGACACGTGTGTATATTTTATATACATATTATTATCTTACTAAAACCTTTTATATATTAATATGCTTATAGGACATTTTATCCGATAGAACATTTTTATCATTTTTTAGCCGATAGCCGAATTGTTATCAACTTTGATTTACAGAACGTAATACGAAAACAGAGTGATCGCATTGCGTTTGAATGACTTATAAACAAAATCGTTCAGATGCAGTCATGGTAAGAGAATGATCCATCGTGAATGTTATGCTGTTGTTAATATTTCACTGCTTTTAATTGACTTTCGGCAAACTGGGTTTCGGGAAACAGGTTTTTCAACAAATTGAGATTCGTGGTTTTTGAGTCGACAAACTGGCATTCAGCAAAGTGAAGTCAATCTGGCATTTAGAAAACTGGCTTTTGGCAATCTGGCCTAAGTCTGTTACGATATGGCACAACAGCAATTTACTAGTGTTCTATGCATAGATGATTCCCAAAGACTTCTTCGATGCTGTAGTATCGTAACGATATCTACTGCTAATATGTTGCTTGTTTTGTTTTGACTTGTAAGCGATACTTGACTAACTTGGCTGTGAATCTGAAAAATAAACAAATTGTTAGCTTCAAATACAAAAGCAGCATAACAAAAAGTTTGAGCATTTCTTTTAATTTGCCCAGGACTATCACTGACATTAATTACTAAGATATTATTGTGGTACGGTAGGGCATTTTCAACTGTATTAAGCTTTTGATATGGGACAAATCACTTATCTTATACCTTTTGTCTTTGCTACTACCCAGGCTTAATATGAAGATGAGTTGTGATAAGCCTTAATTGCTAGGTTATAATCAGCCTTGAAAAGAATAATTATTAAAAAAAAAAACAAGAAAATTCAAATTATTGATTAGTTTTCATCACATTTTAAAAGTATTAAATAAAGTGGTCAGACTAAAACAGAAAGAAGAGTTTACTAAAACCAAGAAATTAAAAATACAATTTGTTTTTCACATGCACAGAGA